TCTCACAGCATTTTGTAAAGGTTAATATCATTATCCTCACTTTACAGGGAAGTAACTTGCCCAAACACACACAGCAGGTTCTCAGACCAGAGCCCTATCTACTGGGTTACACTGTGTCTTGAACTTACTAAGTAATGGCCAGATTAGACTTCCTCTCTCAATAACTGAGCCACAGGGATCCTTGGGTCCCAGGGAAAAAAAATGGGAGGATAAGTAATGTTCTTTACGTCTGGCTGCTTAACTAAACAGCAATTAAAATCACCACTATTTTTTTCTATTGTATGATACCTTGTTGCTTTATTGAGAGGGGGCTCTGGAGCATTTTCTGAATGTGAAGCTTCCTCTGTCTCTTTCTGGATTTCTCTTGAATGGTCAGTCCCAAGGTTCACATGGCCTGGAAAAAGAAGATTTCCTTTCTCTGGTTCAGATCTCACTGGCACCCTGGAAATCACCTTGTCTGCTTCCCATCTCACTTTTAGACATTGCTTTCTTTTGATTTTCAAAGTGTTTTTTCCTTCTAGACTCTCAAACTTCTGCCTTACTCCATCTCTTTTGACCTGTTCTGAAGCTTTAGCAAGAGGCTGAGATGCTTCTTTACGGTAATGACGAAGCTGTTGTAATAGCCGACTTTTCCCAGTGCAACCCCTGCAACAAAATTATAGAACTTTAAGCAAGACAACATTACAAACAAGAATTCCATGCCCTCAGGAACCTGACTTACTGCTGAGTAAATTTTCTACTGAGTAAAAAGTGGAATAAGTTACTCTGCAGTAATTCTGCTGTGTCTACACCTTAAGTCTCACTAAAAGTCAACAAGACTTCAGAGTTGTCATCCTCAAAAATACAACATAGGCTCCTAAATCATATAATCACTGCAAAATATATCCTAGTTCTACTTACAACCCTATGTACTGGTTTCATGGGACGTGTATTTGACTGGAGTTGCATTCACTCTTCCGGGAACTCAGGGGAAACACAGTTTCTATCTCAGGAGCACTGAATAAATTAAGTGCTGATATAGAAATCACAGCATCTACCATTCCCGAAGGACCCCTTTTCCAATCCAGCACCTAAGTTCTAGGTCGGTAAACCAAGCAGGGAGGAAAAAAAAAATAAAATCACCCAATAACTCCTGTAGGAGGAATCTGGGGGAGGCAGGGGTAAGGAAGAGTCAGGTTGATGAAACTATTAAATGTTCAACATCATACTCCTCAGATTGCTCCGATTCATGATGCCAAAATATAATGTCATAGTCCTGTACGATCAGGTCACAAAATCATTGGACACAGGTGTTGCAGTAGATTTAGTCTTTCTGGACTTCAGGAAGGCCTTTGACACTGTCTCCCACCCCATTCTCATTAAAAAGCTAGGTGACTGTGGCGTTGATGCCTACACAGTCAGATGGGTCTCAAATTGGCTGATGGACTGCAGCCAGAGAGTGGTGGTAGACAGGTCATATTCGATCTGGAGGGATGTGGGCAGTGGGGCCCCCCAGGGCTCGGTTCTTTGGGCCCCCACTGTTTAATCTCTTTATTAGTGACTTGGACAAGGGGGTGAAAAGCACCCTGTTCAAATTCACTGATGACACCTAGATCTGGGGTGAGGTGGGCATGCTAGAAGGGACAGACAGGATAGATGGACCTGGACAGGTTACAGGAGTGAGCGAATAAGAATAAGATGGGATTCAATACTGACAAGTGCAGGGTACTGCACTTGGGCAGTAAGAACCAGCAGCATGCCTATAGGCTGGGGAACTGCCTTCTCAAAAGCACAGTGTCAGAAAGAGATCTTGGAGTCATTATTGATTCCAAAATGAACATGGGCCATTTTGTTGCAGCAAGTTACTCTTAATTTATTCTTTCAAAACTCTTTAAAAAAAAAAGAGTGCTGAGGAGTAGAGCCCAACAACTCAGAATGAGTTAGGAACTGGGAACTCCATTTCAGAAGCCAGAAAAGACCAGAGGTAATTGGATGCACTGGGGGCTCTCATTTATGCTTATGTCATTCCAGAAGCTGTGTGTCTGTAAATCTGGATTAAGAGAAAGTAGGACCCAGTGAACTGAACTGTCATTGGTTTTAATGTTTTTAAAATACACTAATAAAATGCTAAATGACTATCACTATCCTGTCCCATTCCCACAGTAGGCAACCTAATACTCTGGGTAGAGAGAAATCCACAGATTGGATGCATATCTGTTTCATATTTACCAGGGCTCTATGCTGGTGTCATTCTGACAAAAACAAACTCTTACTCTTGATGTCCCTAAGGATTTAATGGATTTGTGAAACAGCAAGGTGAACTGCAGTCTGACTCAAGGATCAACAGTTTCGCTGTAACTGCAGAATCTTCATTGTGGCTTCAGCAGATAGAACACAGACTGATTTGCTGGAGCGACACCAAAAAAAACTGTTTTAGTAATTATAACTGTGCAATTTTGCTTTGGGGAGCACTGCCATAAGATATTTTAATGAGCAAGATATTACTCACAACATTTTTGGAACATTTCAGTTTCACAAAAAAGGTGATGTTTCAAGTAATTGGTACCGTAATCCCAGGGAAAAATCTGGTATTCTTTCCTTAGCGTTGTGATGCTTCTCAGTCATCATACCTTCCTCATCTGTGGAACTTTCACTCGAGCTTGAAACAAGCGGAATAAATTATTATTGGACACCTCGTCGTATTGTTACAATAGCAACAGACCAATCTGTGGCATTTATTAATCCCTTCTGGCATATAAATTTAAACCAAGGGGAAGGGAGAGAAAAGATTTTGGGGGCCAGATTTTTATCTGGTATTAACTAACACAATTCCATTGGAGTTATGCTGGTTTACACAAGCTAAGAATCTGGTGCACAGTGCAACCCCTCCCCCCAAATTAAGGATTAATGCTTCTTAGGTCATTTTAAATTAAATTAAGCATTAAAGTTTAAAGGCCAGCTCCTCAGGTCATCTTCACAACAGCATGTACCTAAGTAACTAAAATATGTTATGTATGAAATGCTATAACAATAATATATTTTAACATTCTTTCATGGCCCAGGATAAATTATCTTGTAACTATCTCTACCTGAACAGTTTGCTTTAAGCTAAGTTTGAGCTTGCTGAAGATTTATCATCCCCACAAGTTAAATTAGAATTCTTTATTAAAATACAGCTAGACTTATGTTATAAGACAACAGCATTTAAAGTACCTCCCTGGCCTTTATTATCTACCTAGTTTCTTCAAACTACCATTTTCTTCAAAGCTATTTATAGCAAGGCTACATCTCAGGAAGAAGGCAAATACCTCCCCCAGAAAATGAGGAGATCCATTGCCAGAACTCACTGTCGTCTTTGGGAAGAGTCTAGGCTCCCAGAACTTGCTGTCCAAACATCATTTAGACTCACAGGAAATTCAGAAACCAGAACTAGAAATCACTTAGCTGTCCACCTGGATTTCTGGCCAGGCACTTTCCCTTTAAAAGATTCTCTCTCTCTCCACTAGAGGGCCACCCTTTCTGTATGAAGGGCATGGACATGCAGGAACATGAGAGACACATTCCCCAAAGGGCATGAGACAGACAGAATTAGATTTCTGCTCTGTTTCTTTCTCTCTCTTTTTTTTTTTTTAACCTAACATCAAAGCCCAGTAATTACCTCAGCTTTTCATTGGGTGGCGACTCTGATTTCTGTGGTTTAGCATCCCTTAAATCTATATATACTGTCTGGGGCTCTGCATGGTACTGTAGTTCCACTATCTTCATACTTCGACAGCTTGGTGGAGGTGGTAGGTAGGCAACTTCTCTGAGAACAGAAATCATTGTTTCAATGCCATGTGTGTTTAAACAGGCCATAGGATACAAATAAAAGATCAAGATGAAGACTGTGCTCCTTGCTACTGCACAGGTTCAGACTCAGACTGCCTATTATAAAATATAAATGCCAGGATTAAAATTTTGCAGCTTCCAAATTCAGATTATCCTTGGTATAAAAAGTTCAAATCTATGTTCACAGCACACTGTTGTCATATTATTGATGTGGATCTGGGCTAGACAGGATTGAATGCAATTGATTTACAATTTGTCTATTTCCAAATAGTTCAAAGTGCTTGAAATAAAAAGAGAGAGGTTTTCAACTTTCCCATATTGTGACACAAACAACAACTTGGTTCACTTAAAGTTCTAGACAGTCATATGTGTTACCCTGACCGGACTAGGCAAGAAGTGATATTTACAGCCAGCCTTCAGAGAAGATGTCAATACATGTCAGCTTAGAGAACTGATTATGATGTTCTGACTTTTATCCTCAGGTGGATGACAACAATCCTCTGATCGCTCAGGTTTCCTTATTGTAATGTTAGTGACTCCCCCCACCCCCCTTCAAGTGCTGACATGCGTGGTATCGTTGAACACCCCAATAAAGGAAGTTTCTACCCCAAAAAGTTTTCAAATCTCTACAACAGACCCATTTCATTGCTGTAAAATTCCTCCTCTTTGATTTTCCTGGCAGCTACATCTCACCCTTCAGTTTGCACAAAGTTCAAGTCACTTAGATCATCTTCCTAGTCTGCTTTAGTCTAAAGGAATCTGTTTCAATGGGCCTTGAATTGGCTCTTTTCAATATGTATGAATTGGGCTACATCCAATATGAATGTAGTTTGGGCACCAATGCATAGATTAGATCATTTGGACTGGGATTTTCAAAGAGTTCTCAGAGAATCAGATGCTTAAATCTCATTGAAATTCAATGTCAATGCCAATTGTGTAACTCAGAGCCACCGATTTTGCAAGCCCTTGCTGCAATGTATGCAGCTATTTTTAATGGGCTCTGCTTACCTCACCCTTTCAATCATAGGTGGAGTCCCACCAGGTTGGACCACAGGTATAGAGGGCTACACCTTGCATAGAAGGGATTGTGTTGGGAAGAAGGGTGGAGGAGTTGTTCTCTACATGAAGGCACAATACACCTCCCTAGAAGCAGAGATTGGCAATAAACAAGGGTGACTGGAGACCCCCTGGGTCAAGATACAGGGAGAGCATGGAGTAGGGGATTTGACTGCAGGAGTTTACTACAGACCTCTGAACCAAGAGGAAAAGCTTGACCAGGAATTCTCTAGAGAACTGGCAGAGGTTGCACCCTCTCAGAGCATGGTCATAATGGGTGACTTCAACTACCCAGACATCTCAGGACGAGCACTCAGCAAGATCTTACTGCTCACAAAGCTTCCTCACTTGCACTGAAGAGCTAGGACTCAAGAATTCTACAGGTTGACCAGGGGCAAGGCAGTACTGGACTTGGTTCTGACCAAAGGGGACGATCTACTGAGCAACCTGAGGATCGAAGAGAAACTAGGCAACAGTGACCATGAGATGATCACTTTCTCCATCCACTGTAAGACATGAAAAAAAATCAGTCAGTAGACTAGAAATCCTTGATTTTAGGAAAGCTGACTTTCACAAGCTTATCAGATTGGTTGGCAAGGCCCTGGGGGACCATGGTCCAATGGGGAAGGGAGTTCAAGAAGAGTGGTCCTTCCTCAAGGAAGTGATCCTAGGAGCACAAAGGAAATACATTACTTTTCATAAGAAAGGCAGCAAAAGGGCGGAAAGACCACTTTGGCTCAATAGGGAAGTCATGGACCCCCTGAAATTGAAAAGAGAAGTTTATAAGGGGATGGAAGTCAGAAATTTGCACCAAAGAGGAGTAGACAGCAATAGCACACACCTGTAGGAAGCGGATTAGAAAAGTAAATGCAGAAACCAAATTCAAATTGGCAATTGGAATCAAGGACAACAAAAAGTCCTTCTTTAGATATGCAGGAAGTCAGAAAAAAAAAAAATAAAGAAAAACCATAGGGCCCCCACTGGACGAAATGGGACAACTGATAAGTGACACTCAGGAGGAAACCAAACTCCTAAACAAATACTTTGTGTCAGTATTCCAAGGGCATTAGCCTGCTTGACAGGATACAAGATGATCATGATGGGAGTGAACACTCTCCCATAGCTGGCGGAGATCTTGTGGGGGAACACCTAAAGAGGATGGATATGTACACAGCCAACATGGCTGTTGTGGGCAGGTCATGGCAACCTCATTTCCTTCTACGATCAGGTAACTTACCACCTGGATAAAGGAAATGAGGTTGATGTCATATACTTGGACTTCAAAAAAGCAGGAGGAACTGGCCTTTCTGCTACACAAAAATCAATACCATCTCATAGAAATAACAGAGACCTAGTAGGATTCCACCTATGACTGGACCACAGGTACAGGAGAGAACGTGTTGCTAGAAAGGGAGGAGGTGGAGCTCTTTATGTGAAGGATCAGTAAACTTCCCTACAAGTGGAGTTTGGCACCCAAGAAGGGTGACTTGAGACCCTCTGGGTTAGATTACGTGGGTGTCGCAGGGCACTAAAGTGCCTGCTCCTTTAAGAGCAGAAACTCCCTAAGGAGAGGGCTCTAGGAGCCAGACAGAAGCCCCACAGGTGTAGGTTACTATGGCAGCAAGCTAACAAAGAAATTAGCCTGCACTTGCACCTGTTCAGCTGACTGGAAGATGGCAGGGCCCTGGGCACATATAAACCCCAGGGCTGAGGCCATCAGGGCTTAGTTCTTTGGCAGCAGCCAGGGGAAACGGGCTGCAGAAGAGGATTGCCCAGAGACACTGTGGCCGCCTGACATGCCACAGTAGGGATAATGGGGCTCCAGGAGCTCACCAGGTACCCTGGCCTACAAGGCACTTAATGCTGGGGGGCAGGGAAGTTTGACTCTTTTAAAGGGACAGGGCACACCCTGAACTAGCTGTATTATGTTATAGCCCAGGGGCTCATTTTTTGGTTGCTGTTTATAGACCAGTGGACATGGCTGAGGCTATTGGGAGAGAAGGAGGCCTCACTGGGGCCCACTAGAGAGAGCAGAGCCCAGCGCCAGGGGGTGCAGAGACAAAGGGGGTGAGCAGAGCCCGGTGATGACAGGAGGCCAAGCTAGACCAAGGCCTCAAAGAGACAATGTTTGAATGCCATCTGCGAGGCTTGGGGTGTGGTAAAGGGGCGGTTTTGGAGCCACACATCTAGCCCATAAGGCTGAGGGTATCCCATGAGCCATTCATTTTGAGTGGAACCCAAAAGGAGTCCAAGAACTCACAGGGTTCAGTGGGGTCCAAACAAACTCGAGGGCAGCCTCCCAATTTATTACAATTACCAGCAAGATGTGGCAGGCGAGGAAAAGGGTGCCTGTTAGTCAAGACTGGCATGGTCATGGAGCCCTAGGGGCATCACAGCCTTCCCTGGGGACCCCACAGTGTGACGGGGGAAAACACAGTAAAGATGTTTTAACAATAGGAGGTGTGTAGTAGACTCCTAACCAAGAGGAACATCTTGACCTTGCATTTGCTAGGGAACTGGCAGAGGCTGTATGCTCTCAGTGTATGGTTGTCATAGGCAACTTCAACTGCCCTGACATCTCATGGAAGCAGCACTCTGCCATGATGATCTCATGGTAAAATTGGGAAAATGCAGCCTCAGCTACTTTACGGTCTGGTGTCCATGTAACTGGTTCTGAGGTAGGACCCAGAGAGTATTAACAGATGGAACTAAGTCAGCATGGTGGAAGGTGACCAGTGGCATCCCTCAGGGTTCAGTACTCAGATCAGTACTTTTCAACACGTTCATCAATTACTTGGATTCCAGTATTAAAAGCATACTGGCAAAGTTCGCAGACAACATCAAATTATAGGGGAGTACAGTCATGCTCAAGGACAGGCTGGGGATACAGGCTGACCTGGACAGGTTTGCAAGATGGGCAGCTCATAACCTGGTGATGTTTAACACAGAGAAATGTAAAGTGCTTCATCTGGGGAGACAATCTGCAACACACTTACAGACTCTGCAGTACTACATTTGCCAGCACCACAACTGAAAGAAACCCGAGGGTCATGATAGACTACAGAATGAACATGAGCCACCAATGCGATGCTATAGCTGCAGTGCAAATCAAACACTGACATGCATCTACTGATGCATCTCAAGCAAGATTAGGGGTGTCACCCTCCTACTCTACTTGGCCTTGGTGAGACTGCAGCTGGAGTACTGCCTCCAGTTCTGGGTGCCACACATCAGGAAAGATGTGGAGAAGCTCGAGTGTCCAAAGGAGGGCCACGTGCATGATTAATAGGTCTGGAGACCAGGTCATACAAGGAGAGGCTGAAAGACATAGGACTGTTCAGCCTGGAGAAGGCAGACTTAGAGGGGACTTGGTGGCAGCCTATAAGTATATTAGGGACATGTATCAGGGCCTGGGGGAGCATCTGTTCACCCAGGCACCCCAAGGGAAGACAAGAAACAATGGGCACAAACTGACAGAAGATTGCTTCAGATTGAACATCAAGAAGGTGTTTTTTTTTTTTTTCCTTATAGTTAAAGTACTGAGGATCTGGAACAGGCTCCCCACAGAGGTGGTACGATTGCCTACCCTGGCGATCTTCAAAAAGCGTCTCAACACCCACCTTGCTGGGGTCATCTGACCCCAGCAGTCTTGCCTGACCTAGTGCAGGTGGGCTGGACCTGATGATCTTGTCAGGTCCCTTCCAGCCTCTGACATCTATGAATTTTTTTTTTTTTTTTTTTTTTAAATATAATCTATTAATATCACCATAAATATGTGCAATTTATCCCCTTAAGAAAATAAATAAATAAAAGCCTACTTGGGCACATCTCTAGTATGATATTAAATACCAGACTAGGGAGAAATGCTTAGGTGAAACCACTGATTTTTAGGCATTCTTGCTCCCGATCACAACCACCCAATGTGTACAAAAACTAACTCTTAGAGAAAAGGACCTACTTCTTGGCTGATGATGACCTTCTGTACTGTGGGGCCAATGCCTTGGACTGCTTTGCACACAACTCTTCTAGCTTTGCCATGAGCCTGCTTTCAGATCTAGCAATCCAAGTCTCTATGGATGAACAGAGAAATCAAAAAATCTCTTACTATGGTCTTGCTGTTGTAAGGAAGTAGTCCAACTTTCCCTTTCATGTCTTATCACTTTGCCTGCAGCAAGTTACAGAAATAGGAATAATATGGAGGTTATCCTAACCTGGCAATCAAAGTCTGGCTTCAATTCAAAACCAGGTCAACACTTTAACACTCTTATTTTCTTAAAGAAAAATTAATGGAGCTCTAACGGTCCATCCTTCCTCTGCTGTTGACTGCCCCAGCTCTTCTTGAGCACTCTGTGGAAGCTGGGCCTCTGGAGTACAGATGTACCATGACAGGCCAGACAGACAAACAGAACTAAACTAAAAGGCATGTCAGTCCTGAACCTTGGATGGTAGTGGCACATGGGGCAGTGGCTGGGTTGCAGCTGCTGCCATCAGTGTCAGGCTGGCAATGACAGTTATTGTTGTGACCCTGCCCAGCTCACTGCCTGGGGCTGGTGTCCTGCTCCTCCCTCCCCTTAGTTATGCTACTGGCAAGAGGAGAATCCAGGGAGTATAAACTGGTATAGCTTCCATCTTCTTGTGGCACTTCAGAGCATCAGTTTCAATCCCCCAGAGTCCCTTAGATCAGATGAAAAAATTGTGTCTGAATTTATTTCTGCTTGGCGTGTGCTTAAGAGCCATTTTGTCTGGTCACTACTACAGCACTGCTGGGTGTACTAGCATCTCTCAGAAGCTTGCCCAAAACAGAGATCCTGAGAGTATCCCTGGATATATGCTAAAAAGTGTATCCCTGGACTCAGTGTTTTTTAGCAAGCAGGATATGTGGAGTAAGTGGGCAGAGCTCGTGTCCTGGCAGCAGTCTCAGGATAGCTGTAGGGGGGTAGTAACATATCTTTAAATCCATGTATGCTTCCTTGTTATCTGGACTATGGCTTGCAGTGGGAAGGGCAGAATGAGTGGAAGACTTAGATGCAGAAACAGAAGGAAGACAGGAGGAAGAAAGGAAGTGAAGAATTGACAGTATTTACTTGCAACTCCTTATCGTGGTTATTTCAGAGAGGGGTGGAAAAAGAAAAGTAATTCGCATCCTACTTCAAATTGAGAAGATTTTGTATATAAATTGTTTTTAAAAGAAGCCATTGTTATAACAAAGTTAAGCTCTTAAAAGTCAGACAGTGCCCAAAGTCAGACCGCCTCTGCAACCTTAGTTCAGATCCCATGTACATATTGCATTATGAAACAATATTTAATTAGATAAGCATATACTATTTTTACCACAAGATGCTAGCCTCATTCAGCAATAGCAGGAAAACTCCTGGAGCATGCTTAGTTGCTCTGTGGAGATGGCACATATGTGAAGGAGCTCAGAGGGGATAATGCAGTATGCTCAGTATAGAGACTTCAAAGAATTTAGCTGATGAACTTTATTGAGCAGAAGCAAAACAAGCAGTTTGTGCCCTGGGCAGCGGCAGGAGCTGCTGTTCTTGCACCCTCCCAAAATTGGTGTCCGGGGCTTATGCCCCCCAGTCACTCAACTCTAGTTACTACCATTACTGAGCATGTGCACACTGATATTTTTCACATGCCTCCTCAGGCACCTAAGTGCTTCTTCCATTTTAGCCAAATGGAGACAACTTTTCATTGGAACATCAGAGGGTAGATCCCTTATAACCAGAATAACCCTACTGCCAATCTTCAAGTCTTAGTTCCAAAGTCTGATAACACTCAAGGAAAACAGCTGTAAGGAGTTTTGAAAGGTATAATAGGGTCTTCCCCAGGGATGGCCGCAAAGCCCCTGGAGCCCCCTCAGCTCTTGTCAACTTTGCTCTCTTTGGGCAATCTCCCCTTCCACTCACCTGCCATATATTGATGACAAGAGGAGGATGCCCCAGGCTTTCCCAAGTGAGATCTCAATCTCTTCAACACAGATAATGTCGCTGCTCATCACCTCAAGGCCTAATTATGTAGCCTTCTTGTCTTCCCTTATAGCCATGCCCAAGCCTCAGATGTTACCAATCACTCATTAGCCCAGGCCTGCATCCTCTCACAGACCTGGGCTTAGGTCTCCATCTCCTTCCATCCACACCTGGGAACTTTGCCCATTTTCGCTGCTCCCAGGTGTGACCCTGGGTCCCTGACCCTGTTTCTACCTCTCGGAGGTGCTGGATCCCTGGCCCTGTCAGTCTCCAGCTGTGGTCCTCCTCAGGCTTTGACCCCTACCCTTGGGTCCTGGCCCCACTCCTAGGCCAGTTGAGAACACTGGGCTCCCTGGCCCTGTTTGTTCTCACCCCTCATGGGCTACGGGTCCCTGGCCCCAGGTCTCACCCTGCTCCTGGACCTTGGCCCCTCTCTCAGACCCTGGCCCTGCCCCCAGGCTAGTTGAGACCTCTGTTACCCTTGTTTCAATCCCTAAACCACCAGTTTTGCTTACCCCATCTTAGGTATTAGTGAGGAGCCTTCATGCATCCCTTTTGTTCAGAAGCTTTTTCTCTCCATGGCTCTGCAGGTCAGACCACCTGCCCAGCTTGGGTTCTGGGCTTATATACTGCAAGGCCAGCCCCTTCTTGGTCATGTGGCTCCTGATTGCCTTCTGCTACACCTGCCACCTGCTTCATCAGCAGCTTACCTGCTCTTAAATTAGCAGGAGCACCAAGCCCCTTGTTACAGGGGGCAAAACATGTTTTTTCTCAATTTCAATCTTAGAAATGGCTTTCTTTTCTTTTCTTTTCTTTTCTTGACCCAAACTTTCCAAAAGGACATAACACACACCTTAAATGCAAAAAGTCTGGCAACATTATAAACAACTGAAAACACAATTTTATACCAGGAACTGTCAGACAACCCTAACTTTGGGCAGAGCTGCCAGCTCTGTCTATAATAATTAGCTGCAATAATCAAAACTAGAGGCTATGAATGTACAGATTGCCATGATGTAAGAGCAATCTTCTGACCTGGTGGTAGATGGAATTGGGCTGGTTTTGTTACCATTAGTTAATTAGATCCTACTGGAATTAACATGATATGTTAGCAACCTCAGAAGAACATTAGCTATTCTAAGGGATGTAAATAATAAATTTGATGCAGAGACTTCAAATTGAAGTTTCAATCCCTGGTTTTAAAGAAAGATGTTGCACTGTGAGTCCCCTCTTCAGATATAGATTAATGGTGAAGGACAGAAAGTGAGAATCCAAGACACAGATTGAAAAGCAATGCAAGAAACTGGACTGGCCTGAATCATACTCTGACAAGACAATAAGAAGTACAATTCAAAGTCTAATCGATGAGAGGAGCTTTAAGCTGAGAGGCCCAGAGTGGGAGACAACTCAAAGCTGGTCTCCCAAATATTTAACCCTGCACTTCTGCTTATTCTTTTGATAGCTCAAGAGCTCTTAAACCAGATGCGTACTACCTCTGAGTGAATCAGCATCCCTCAGTTTGTGGACAATGCATGTAATGGCTACATTTTAATAGAAAATCTACGGTTAAAAGATCCACATAAGTATCCTTTCCACAGATTTTAACATGGTTACTTGGACCAACTACCTTTTCCCCCTCCTCTCCCTCCTCAAAGAGATATCAGAGAAAACAATTTCCTTTCTTACAGCAAGAAGGACCTTTGCTAGGACACAAATTCATTATAAGCATTTTGGTAAAATGATAAATGATGGCTATGGGTCATTGGCAGACCTTAGGCTAAATTATGTTTTACAACATAATTTAGGTGGCTAAAGGGGCAGACAAGTTCCTACTTGGATTTACAAAACCATTTGGAAAGTTAGGTGTCCAACTCTCATTTTCTTTCATTGGGCATTATGGGTTAAGTCCTATTTCATTTCACACACCTATGTAACACGTACAGAGCTGTGAAACGGCCATTTTTAACAGTTGGGCACAGTTTGGATTTTACTTCTATCTGTAAAGAACAGAAACAGCCTGTGTGTGCACTTGCCAATAGACAAATGGTGGAGGAAGAGAATCCTCTTAACTCTTGGCCCAATAGTCTAGTGGCTAGGGTATTTGCACAGAGAACAGGACATAGACTCTAGCCCCCATGCCCCACCTTAACCAGAAGTGGTTAAAGCTGCATTTTCTCCCCACAGAAGGCTCTAGCCATCAGATCACGGGCTAGGCGTTGCCAGGACACTTTAACCCAGAATGCAACCTACTGAGCTTGCCCAATATAGAAATTCAGAGAAAGCACAACTATGTGTAATCTAAGCAGTATGCAAGTGCCAAAAATTGCTGTTACACATTTATGTAAGTGTCACTTAGGCATGTGAAGGTAAAACAGGATTTAGCCTCAGGAGTCTCTCTCAGCTAGGCAAGGACTCCTGAGAAATTATAAGATAACAGGCTTAGATTTACCATAGAGAATTGGGAAAAAGTCATGGAAATTTCTCTGTATTACAGCAACATATTTCCTGGACCACCCTACCAGCAACCAGAAATTCATTAACCCATTTTACAAGTACTACCTTGGTAAAGACATACTGACTGCTTAAGGATCGGATGAATTGGAAACAATCACCCAAATCCCAGAGGCCGTGCTGAAGCAAGAGAGAACTGAGGAAGACCTAGCTTGAATTACATGAAGAGCAGTTCTAATGCATTCATTAAAAAGAAAGAGGTTAATCTATCTAGAGGAGACACCCTGGTTAGAACTCTCAAAAAAGTAGAGAAAGTTCAAGTAACAGAAATAGCATGAGAGGTGAAAAAGAAGCTGCTGTGCAGAAGCAGCAGAGACTGCTCTAACCCCTTGGTAGGAGCAGAACATATCATTTTGCTTTTGCAAAAGGTGCTTCTTCCTCCAAAACCCTAAATTATGACAGTATGCTAAATCACATGCTGGAAGCCCAGATCCAGGACTTATTACAATAGATGCCTCTAGAGAAATTGGGACAGATCCAAATACATTAACATTGATAGAGTTTTGCTGATTTACCCCAACTAAGGACTTGACCTGATGTCTCTCTTTTATGATAATTAACAATTTGGTCCTGGCATCGGGAAAAATAGTCTTTTACCTCCTAGTAATTTTCCTGTTGGTTCAAAATTGGTATGGGGTGTTTGAATGAAAAGAAAGAGATGTCAGACTGTAATGGGGCCCCTCCCCCATAACTGAAAGGGAGAGGGAGCCAAGGATCAGCAGGCCAGCTCCAGCCTCCAAGACAGACTGACAGTAGCAGAGGTCTCTAAAATAAAATGGCCACTCACCCAAGGTTTGATAAGCCTGGGGCAGAAATTGTGGGTCAGGTGACCCAAATAGGGATACAAGCTTGAACGAGAGTGGGTAGTCTGGTTTTACTGGCTGCAGCAAGCAGAGCTCAGAGGAGAAGGGCCAAGCTACCCATGGAGGAAGGACTCAAGACAGCAAGAGAGCTGGAAGAAAGCCTCTATGCCACCAGGCAACAGTAAATAAAAGTGTTTTTGAGTCTATGTCATAGTGCTGCCACAGTGTGAGTGTTAACCCAAGGTGCAGGACTTTTTATTTGGGAGCAGATGCTCATTTTTTTCATTCTTGTTTATCCTGGAGGGCCAGCTTGTAGCTTTTGGGGCAGAGGAAGCCACTAAGAAAGGTGCCAAGGGCACCCCAGATCCTAGACTGTGAAGGAGGGGATTTCTCCTTTTAGTTGAAGGACTGCAGTGCCAGACAGCAAGGGGCAAGATCAGGGCCAAGGGGCCTAGAGCACACAAGGACTGGAGCCAGAGCCCTGGGAGCCTAGGGTTGTGGTACAGTAGACATCAGGCAGAGGGGCCCAGCCAGAGTAAAGTGGGCCAAGGCCAGGGTGCCTCTAACAATAACATCAAGGCATGGCAGGAGAGAGAAGAGTGGAACCCTGAAGGGCCAACGGGGACAACAAGATAGAGACAAGGAGGTGGCCAGGAGGGGTGACTTTCCTGCTCTAGCGCTGGATGTGTTACACAGACATAACAATAAATAGTCACAAAGAAGGGGATGATGATCATTGCAAAACTGCATGCAACAATTTTTCTCTGAATATTTTAGAAACCTCTTTTATTGTGACTGTAGTGTAGCTGGCAAACTCTCTGATTTCCACTTATTTTCAGAGTTGACATGTCTCTCATTGATTAATTCTATTTATCCATTTCCCATGTAGATCCACTAGTACAATAGTTCTCAATGTATTTAAACTTAAGGCACCTCCTGATAGACTCCAGGACCCCTTCAGAGTCAGCTCTTAGCTTTCACTCAATTTTTTACTACAGAAAGAAAACAGAGTAACTCTTATGTTGTAAAGAACTCAGAAAGACCACAACAAGTCGGGATGGTTTTGACACTATGGATTCTCCTATGTGAAATCTCTTGGTTTATCCTGTGAATCATGTCTGCACATCAGACAGTGCTAACACTGCACAGCACCCCTGAAACATTCTCAAGGCAGCCTAGGGTGTTGTGGCACCCAGACTGGGAACCACTGGATTATCTTAAGCCCTACCACTATTCCCCAAGCACAGTCATAGAGGTTAGATCAACCAGAAACAATCAGCCAGATCCTAGGGACTTAAAAGCCTGTTCCAATTGACAAGTGGGAAGTGGATCAGATTCTAAGATGGCAGTAGGTATGATGACCTGTTTTCCAGCCTGTAAAAATGCTATAGCACCAGGAGATGGACCCCTACCTGTAGCGGCTTACATATCTACTACAGACCAGAGATAGCACTAATTGGGTGCAACGCTGGTCCCTTCCAAGGGGTGGTCCCTCCTTGCCTGAAGGAATATGATTTTAACTTCTAAGCAACACAGACCCATTTGGGTGGGGCATAAATCAGCAGAGGATCAACACAATTTATATATTGAAAGACACATTCTGCCTTGACAGGCTAAGCAGCAGTGGCCTAAAGGTAAAGGAAAGTTTAGGCTAGAATCATTAAGTAAATTCTTGAAATTAAGAGAAGTTAAGCATTGGAACCAACATCCAAGGGAAGTGGTCAAGGTGCCATCATTGCAAATAGTGAAGAAGAGAGTAAAGGGAGCAATATAAAGAAGAGCAGCGGTTGGATCTGAGGGACTGAGGGGGTTTGCAGTCTCTATTCTGAACTGATTTGTACACATTTTCAGCAAGGTTAACATGTATTGTGAAGTTACTGTGATCCACTGAAGGGAAAGCAGGTTCTTCTAAGTGTGTTCCATCATCCTGATGTTCCATGTTCTTGAGAATCTTGTCTAGATCCCACTTCTCGATACCCTGAAAGAAGGAAACCAAATGGTGATGGAGAATTCACCCACAGGGAGTTACTAAAAAAGATCAAACCAGAAGCCAATGTTTTACAAGCTAAGGTTTCACAGATGTTGCCACAAAACAGCATAAGAACGCCTGAACAACATGTGGAAATCTGCCCCACTGACCTCCTTCAGTGGCAGCTTATTTTTATTTTTTGGCTGAGGGCTGGAGAGTGTTATTGTGGATGTACAAAACTGGCCATGACTTTTTAGAAAGAGGGATGTACTGTCTGAACATTCCTATTATCCAAGTCTCACTGTCATGGCTGGGCAAAGCAGTACAAGTTCTTCACACAGCCTACCTAGAGTGGCTGATGCTCAAGCATGCCAAGATTAACAGAGCTTTCTGCCCTACTTGGAGAAGCTGCTGAGCCTAAGAGGGCTGCAGGAATGTGGACTGAATCCGCATATCTGAATCTGAGAGAGAAGTTCCTTTACTATCTGCCTGACCTTGTTTTTATTGGAGTCATCCATTCCCAACTCTCCTCTCCAAAAGAACACCCGTTCATATGCTGGATTTCTTCCCAACAGCAGGTGTCTATCCTTTCCTTCTGTGCTCACCCAGCAGCTTCAGATGCAGCCCACGCCTCAATCTTCTCTCCTGATCCCTCTTACGGTCTTTCCTCTCCCTGCCACCACGTCCAGCAGAAATGCAAGCATGGCCAGGCTGTGTCCACAAATGAAACACTAATGGAAGTGGTACAGTGAGAGGGAAGACAGAGGTGTTCATAGAATCATAGAATTAATGAGTCAGAAGGGATCTAG